AGTTATCTCTAACCTGTGACCAAGAGAAAGCACACATTTAAATAAAAGTTTGAACCATTGATATCATTGCAAACTGCCTCATATGAGAAAGCATCTAACAGCTGTATTCCCTCCTGATAAGAACTAGAACTTCTATGTTTTTGGAGCTGATGGCTTGTGCCTAGACACTGCATAAAGCTGAAATATGTCAGGGAATAAACATTCCCAAAATAAAAGTTGGAAAGAATAACAGCACTTTATTTAGACAGAAAGAGCTCTGAAATTCCAAATGTGATGTTTCTGTTCTGTCTCTTCAGTTCCTGGGGTGCCTCTTGGCCGTTATAATACAGGTGCTTCAGGCATCAGTGGCTTTTGCCAGACTGACTCTCCCGTGATCCATATTGACAGCTCAGCTAAAAAGGGGTTTGCAGGGCTTCGTGCGAGGGCTTTGGCAAGGCCTGTGAAGAAGAACGTAGGCTCAGGGCAGTGCAGCAGCTCATGGGGACACAGGCTGATGCCAGACCAGATGACCAGATAGAACAGAAACTGGTTTTAGTTGGACAATTGGAAATCTTTCTGTTAGGGTCATGTTGATATTTAAATACTTTATACCTTTTTGTGACCAAAAAAAAAAAAGAAGAGCTTATGCAAAATTTAAATTTTTCTATAAAGAAAAAAGATAAACAGCTTTGTGGAAACAACACAGAACTTCACCAGTCTCGGTGGAAGCTTGTTTTCTGCACAGCCTCTCAAGTATTGGTGTTCCTCATCGGAAGACAAGTTATTCTGTAGGTGGTGGAAGGGGGTTGACCTGGCTGTCTATACATTTGCCTTGTCTGCATCAAGCATCTTCTCTCCCCCCGTCCTGCAGCGCTGCCAGCTACACTGGTCAATGAGCTACTTTGTTGGCTGGGGTGAGGGGGAAGGAATTGCATAACCCCTATTCCTTAAACCAAGGGATGAAACAACCCAGGCATTTTGACAGTTAAAGTTGACATGTGAGCAGAAAATGTGTAGTATTACATAAAAACCTGCAAGCTTGAATGAAGTGACAACGTGACAAAGTCAGAACTTTCCTGATACGAATTTAGAGAACTGTGATGCAGGATCCAAACCCAAACTTTGAAGTGAAGAAGGCAGGGCTTTTGAAGTAGGAGTGCTATAATGCAAAACTAGAATACAGTATGTACAATTCTCACTGCCTCTTAATCAGCAAAGATGAATTCAGAATGGAGAAGATACAAGAACTCACTGCAGAGTCATGGTCTGTGCTTGCTTTGATCATTACACTGAGCATATAGTAAAATTGGCTTTATAAAGTTAGTAAATGAAGCTTTCAGAAACTTTCTGAAATGCTTGAAAAGTAAACACTAAAATTTGGGGCAACTGACGAGATAGCATTTGGGATTTTTTTTGGCTTTAGGCCAAGTAATATTTTAAGAACTCCATCAGAAGGCTGTCTTCACAAGTACCTTACTGTTATTTTTCTGGCAGGAATTGTCACTCAGGGTCAGTTTAGAGGACATTCAATCCGAGCTCTTTTAACTCTGGTAGTCTGCCTTAGGTCAGTCCTGATGTTTGCAGAGCTGACAAGAAGAGTTTGTTACCTAACCCTGCTAAGTGCAATGGCCTTTACATTGAAAAAATCAGGCTAAACGTGCAGTTCCTTGTGCGTAAGATATATTTTCTAGCAGTACCTACTGTTCTAAGTCAACTTTGTGAGAATTTTGTAGCTTGGGGAGGATTATTAATCTTAAGAGTTTTGTGTAGTGAGAGCAGCAGGACTTCAGATCTGTGGTCATGTTGAATATTTCTTTGAATAAGATCTTTGAACATAAATGTGCATGTATCAGCTTTTTAATAGGAAAGCGTAGCCAAGCTGGGAACTGATACTCTCTCTGAGGAGCAAGGAGCAGGTATCTTCTTGTGCTCTGCAGTGTTGCACTAGGAACGTGTTATTTTTTTCATCAAGTTGAGAATAGGAGTCTGTAGTGAAGTATATTCATCACTCTTACAATAACAAGTGCTGGAAACTGGACTCTCCCAGCTAACTCAATTTTATGCTTTTGAGACCAGTAAAGTCACGCTCCGATAGGGGTGTATGGTAGGTTCCTGCAGCTTTTCTTTGGCAAATGTGCTCGTCTGAAGAGTTTTTTGGCTGGCTTGCTTTGTTCTGGGGGAAGGGAAGGTGTCACCAGAATGAGCTATTATACCTGTAAATGTTTGGGTTTGTTCTTTAAAGATCCAAAATTTCAGTAGTATATAACTGAGTCACTCAGCTACCAGCTAATTAACGGAAAACGGCCCTAGATTTACAGTGTATCTATGTTGATTGCATTAACTTGTGACTCTGGAGAAACAAGCGCAATTAATTCATGCAAGTCTGACTCCCTGGGGTGGAGGAGGAGGAGGAGGAGCGGGTGAGAGTGAAGGACCTGCTGGATGGGGTAAGGGCAGTGAAAGGAGGGGGCTCACAGGCTCTTCCCTGTCCCTCTGCCCCTGATCCCAGCTCTGTCCTTGGAGGAGGAGGAAGGCCAGGCCAGGCCAGGGAAGGAGCTTTGCCTCCATGGGCCAGGCTGCAAAATTGTCACCTGGGTGGGCTGACCCAGGGCTCCTGCTCCTTCAGCAGGCATCAGGTGATGGATGGTGTTGGTGTTTCAGCTGTCTGTAGCTTTAGCTTTCAGCCAACTGGGTAGAACTGTGCGGTTGAGGGTCTGTAAGGGATCTGCTCTTCCCACGTAACTTGCTTTCTTCTGGTGGATCTGAGCGTAGGACTTGACCAGCTGCCTGAGGTTTCTGCGTTTGCTCAGTGTCATTGGAAGTGACAGGCAGCTTTGTAGTAGCAGGATGTGTGTGTATCCTGGGATAAAGACTTGTGGGCACTTAAAACCATATTAACTTTTTCTCTGGAAAGTCACTTTTGCTAGTTCACATAGTTGTGAATAAAACAGCCAGCTGGGAAGCTGGAAGAGAAAAAAAGAAATCAACATGGCAAAAACCAAATATGGAAATTATTCAAATAGTTGAGTAAGTCTTACAGTTGGATATGATGAATTAGGTGCTGTTTTACCATAAAAAAATAGAGATCCTTTCCTCAGAATTAAAAGTTTATAAGACTCTGAGAATGTTTCTGCTTCAAAAACATAGTTACAGCTTTTTTTTTTTTTATAAGCGAGCATTACTTTTGTAAATGAGATGCCATGTCCGATACTTGTTCCTAGGAAACAGGCCTCCAGCCTCTGTTCGTTGTGTGTCCCCTCCTTCCTCTTGGGGGAAAGTACTTTCTAATTAAGTTTCCTGAAGGTTTTTTCCAGTCTTGTGTAAGATAGTTTCCAGTGTAGGCACCGGAATATATTTTCTCTGTAAGTTCGCATCTGTTTAGTTGTTTGGTTTTGGGGTGGGTTTTTTGTTGTTTTTTAGTTTTCAGTCTTTAACACTTCAAATTCAAGAAAAAAAAAGGAAGTGGTGGTGGCCGTGACCCCCCTCCGTAGCCCTCTTGGCGTGGTCAATGCACACCACTTGCTCTCAGGCTTCAAACCTGAGGCAGGTGCTCCCCAAAGGGTGGAGGAGGTAGAAGAGAAAAAAAATATTCTGGGAAATACAGCTACAGGGGAGTTGACTTCATTTTGAGGGGCTTGGGATGTTATTGGCATCCTATTAATTAGTGTATGAACTGGGATGGGAGTGGAGTGTGGACAGATAATCAAAGACTTGTGAAGTGAGAAGGGTCTAAATTATTTTGATAACCTAAATGAGGTAAATATGTAAATGAGACAAGGCAGCATTTATTTTCAGTGGAACTCCATTTAGCTGTATTCAGTTTTCATTGAACCTCTGGGTAAGGAAAAGCAAACTAGTACTTCTATTTTTTTATAATCTACCAAATATGTAATAGAAACATGTTCTGCTTTAACTTGTTTGTCTTTTTCATATAGGTAATCAGAGGACTGCTCAAATTTTGGCCAAAAACTTGCAGTCAGAAAGAGGTTGGTTTTTGTCTCTTGCTGTTTGTGTCCCCTGCGATGCCGGGTGCAGCGGGGCGGGTGGGGGCCCTTCACCTCTGCTGGGCTTTTCAACAGACCCTGCACAAAACTGCTCTTCTTCAAGTTTCTTGAGTTGCTCATCTCTGTCACGCGACTTGATGCGATTGTTTTGTGTGTCTGTTCTTACTATGGTGTTACTATCTTAAAACTGTATTAAAAGTTGCATTCTAATTAAGATAGTGTATAGAGAAACAATTTTCTGAGGTGAGCAGTATCTCAGTAGCTCCAGCCCAGGTTGGAGGCAGTCACCTGCAATCTGATCCAGGCTTAGCGACTGAGATAGGGAAGAAGCATCTAGTAAAGCACCCAGGCATTCTTTTCTTGTAGGATAAAAATAACTGTAAATGGTCTTGGGAAATTTATTTTTTTCCCCCAGTTTCTGTGCAGCTAAAATGAGTATAAAAATCAGGAGTTTGATGTCTGCCACCACATCCCACCCCCCGGTAGCTTGTTAAAAGTGGAGTCCCTTAAAACGGTTGTCCCAGTTGTGTGAGTGGTGTTAAATGTTTCCGTGCCACCTGCCCAGTGTTCTGCTGGTTGTAATTTAAAACAGGAATTAACTATTTATCACTTCAAAAGCAACTCTGGAGATCTCAGATAATGGTAACCTCTGCAGCCACTCTTGAAGAAATAAAATGTTCTAGTGTGGTTTTTTTCACTGTAAGAACCCCATAATCTGCTGAAGCAGTTCTGTGAAGTGTTTAGAACAGTGACACAAAAGAACTCCTCCCAGGACCTCAGACTGCTGATTGACGATTTTCAGGCTGCAAAAAAACCCCGTGGATGTCTCATGCGTTGTAATTACACCCCGTGCTGCTTGCAGGATCCATGACTAATGTATAAGCTGTATTTTGCTTGTTTCTGTTTACAATGGCAATGTAAAACGTTCTCATACTTCTTGATGTATTTCTCTTATACAAACAGGTAATGTTTTTAGGTGAAATTGAAGAAATCTTAGATGTAATAGAACCAACGCAATTCAAAAAAATAGAAGAGCCTTTATTTAAGCAAATATCCAAATCTGTGTCAAGTTCACATTTTCAGGTAAGAAAAAAAAAAAGACACTAAAAAAACCTCAAACCTGTAGTAATTTATTTTGTGGTTGTTGACCCTAAACTTTGTGTTTCAGGTTGCAGAAAGAGCTTTGTACTTCTGGAATAATGAATATATTCTTAGCCTGATTGAGGAGAACATTGATAAAATTCTACCAATTATGTTTGGCAGTTTATACAAGATCTCCAAAGAACACTGGAATCCGTAAGTAACGTTTAACTTTATTTATAGAAGCGTAATTAAATTGTTCACTGTTTCAGGTTTGGATCATAAGCCTGTAAGTGTGACTTCCTTTTTACTTAAACGAGATTACAGGCGATAAAATGGAGGTTGTTTTCAGCTTCTCTCATGCTTTCTGTTCCGCATTGCTATGATGGACAACTGGGATTTACTGAAAAAGTGAGGAAATTGGATGATGGTCTTCATACTGTAATCACATTTGATCTTTGGCATTAATTAAAAATGCAAATGAACAATTTCCAAGGGATGCTTCTGCTATAATTATGCTTTGCTCTCCTTTGCTACTTGAGATGAACAAAATTCTGTCTGTCTTCCTAAGTAGCTATTGCTGCCCAGTGAGGTAAGAAAGGGAAGGATCCTACAGAGGAAGAGCAAGACCTACCACTATAAAGGATGGTGGGAATGAGAAATGAGTGACTACTCCAGTTTATATTTAGTGCCACAAGCTAAACGTTAGTATTTTTATATCACCTTTGAAAGAAGCAGTAAATACATTGAAATACTAAAAAGCAAAGTTAGTGTCCAGCACCCTGCGTGGAGCTGCCAGTCAATGTTCAGAGGGTAGAGATGGTCCAGGCGAAGGCCAGGGTAGACAGGAGCCTTCCACAGCTTTGAAGTAAATCAGATGCCCTGTTTTAAGCCCTTACAGGCTCGGAAATTATTCTGAATTTGTCTAGATGGGGTGTCCAGTTGCACATGAGGCATCTTGTCTTTCTGTTGGGTTCTTACATCAGCCGAGACTGAATATACATTTTTGAGAAGTAGTTCTTGGAGCATTAATGGTATTTGGGAGCTCAGCAGATTTGGAGGGTGTTCCCAGCTGCAGACAGAAGTTGCTCTTTTTGAAGGCAGTGAAAGACAAGGGGTAACTGGATACCTTGAGGTCTGGGAAGTTTGGGGAAGAAAGTCTTGGTTTTAACCTGTTTTTGAGGGCAGAGAAACGTGCTTATGTGCATCCAGCTGTCTGACATGGACTTTACTCACTGAACATCAAGCTTTTCATCTCAGAAACCCAAAACCCCGAATAAGCTTTTGTCTTCAAACCGTATGAAAGCCAGTGTTCAAAAATATCTGTGTGGACAGGCCAAGTGTGTTGTGTGCTCTGAGTGTGGGGGCTCTGCTGGAATCTTGGGGGTTTTCCTAGTGCCACAACGGACAGAGTGTATTGAAAAGGCAAACCTTTGGTCACTTCCTTAGATTTTTTCCTTTTACTCATTTTTCGAGGTCACAAGGCTGGGGGCACCCCTGCTCTGCAGCCTCACAACCAACACGGCTGTGAGGAGGTGCACTGCCCGCGAGGGGAGAGACGGGGAAGGCAGATCACCTACTGTTTTGATTAGTGATAAGTTTAACCATAGGCACCTTCTTAATGTTTAATTTTATTGCTATTTTTGCTTTTCTTTTTATCAGTAAGAGGAGGTGTAAAGGAGAGAAACAATACAGTATTTAAGATAACTTAGTGAAGTAAGAGAAGAGAAATACCTAAGAGAAATACAAAGATACAAATACAAATACAAATAGAATACAAAGAGAAGAGTAATACCTAATGTGGAAATGCTAAGGGCTGTGTAAGACACAGCCAGTGTTGCTCAAGCAGCTCTGGTACTAAGGTACCAGAAACCATGGTCTGATGTTCTCCATCCAGTTCTCTAACGGGGCCTGTGCAGCAAAACTCTGTGGGAGAGCTTTCAGTAGCTGCATTGAACCCTGTGCCTGGGCTTCCTCTGCCGCGTTCTTTGGCCCAGGCTCGAAGCTATTTGCCACAAGTTTATTTGTCTGGACTCTCGTATTGCATTACTCAAAGACTACAAAATTGTTGTGAAAACTCGGTTTATTAAACGTTAACATAACTGAATGGCTTTATAGTACAGCCACATTACTAATAATTATATCCTGTGCAATTGCGAGAGTCAGGAATTTAAGGTTAAACTGCCATCTTAAAAAAACATTTAAATATGCAGTTTAATTTACAGAGGAAATTATAGTAAAGGATTTTGTTTCAGAAACTACCCGACCTTACAGCAGCATCTTGTTTAAGAAGCTCAGAGTCCAAAAAAGAAACAGTGTTTTTTAACTGAAATTAATTTTGTGTTGAATAAATCTAATGGTTGTTTTCCTCCTGTTCTAGAACGATTGTGGCACTGGTGTATAACGTGCTGAAAACCCTGATGGAGATGAATGGCAAGCTTTTTGATGAACTTACAAGCTCATATAAAGCAGAAAGGCAAAGGTACTGATTTTTTTTTTTCTTCCAAATGCTTGTTGATTAATACGTAGTTAAAACGCACCAGCGGAAAGGAAACAAAACTTAACAGTTGTGGCAATGGGGTTCTGCAGTGGAGCTGCCCATCAGATACTTGCTGCTGGGTGTCACCTCAGTATGAAGGACCCTCACAGGGGTGTTGGCAGTTTTACCACTGACCGGTACCAGTTTGTACCCTCGGTTTTTAATAGCGGAAACTATGATTGCCTCTAAAAATAGCTTTGGAGAAAAACCTACAAGAGGAATTGGTAGATGTGAATTGCAGCAGTTAAGTAACTGCACCTCCAGGTTGCACTTATAACACGTCTGAAACCGATACCGTCTCTCTTCTACAGAGAGAAAAAGAAAGAATTGGAACGTGAAGAGCTGTGGAGAAAGCTGGAGGAGTTAAAGCTGAAGAAGGCGATGGCGGAGAAGCAGAACAGCACTCACAGCGTGCTCAATGCACACAGCACAAGTGCCAAATAAAAGAAATGACCACCTCTACTCGGCAGACGTACTTTTTTGTACCCTTTTGAAATATATAAGGATTTGCAAAAGAAACCTCATCAGTATAATAGAAACAGCCAATTTTTTTCTCTGGCAAATGTAAAGATTTGAATTTAAGTACAGCAGTTAAGTGATGTCATTACCACAGCATATTGTAAATTTGTCTAATTATTGATATACTGTCACTTCCAATGTTTCATAGAACTGAATTATCATCCTTAATGAGTGAAATAATTACGGGAGTGGTGAGAATTATGACTTGAATTTTTGATTGTGTTGCACATAGGTGGTATAGTTTGCTATGTACATTTTTTTTTTTCCTTGTTTTATATGTGCTTTTCACATCGCTGCATACTTTGGTTAAGGTGATAGGAAAGGCTTCTAGTTGTGCTGTATTTTCTCAAATAAAACCAAGGTACGTTACCAGTAACTCGAGATACTCAGTATGTACCCCTGCAGCATTGGCAGGAACTCGGATGTGGTGCTGGCCTGGAATTCCTGATTGGATTCAGATCTATTGAACGCAACGTAGGGAGAGAAAGTCAGCTTGAAGAGGTGAGGGTGGGCCCTGCGCCCGACCCACCGCTCGGTGAGTGCCTCTGCCCCATTCTTGCTGCCTCTCGGTCCTGGGCTGCATAGACATTTCCTCCTGCCACAGCTGAGGATGGAGCTTCCTCCAGAAAGCCCATCAATGATGCTCCTCATCAGCCCAAGGACTCCCTGCAGAGTAGTGCAGGTCTCCTAGAGACCTTCTTTGGGTGTTTCTGCATTAGTTTTAGCATCTTTTGGACTGAAGAATGAGACCAAAATTGGGATTATTTTTTTGTTGATGTTGTTAGTAAGGAGGGAAGGACGTCAACAAATAGTTCCTTGTTTTATTTAAAGAAAATGCAGTCTGTTTCTTAAAGGTGGAAAGCTGACATAGAAGTCTTGTCTGTTTACTTGATCAAGTATTTTTCACATCTTTTATCAGAGTACCATTCCAATCTCTTAAATTGCAGTTGTGTGGAAAACTTTTGTAATGAAAGATCTTTGGGGAATTGAGCAGCATTCAATAAAGTCTTTATGTTTGTATTTAGTGCTGTATATCACATCTTTGTGCTTATAAAGACCAGGAGAATTAGAATAGTTTTTATGAACAACCTTTTAACTGACTAACCCATGGCTTTTCTCTGAGTGGCAGAAGGGGTGGAGGTGCAGACCACAGGCTTTCACTTGCCGCCGTGGTCGGAGCGGCTGAGGCAGGGGTGTTACCCCTGGGCTGCTTTGCTGCCTTCAGTTTCAAGCAGTTTCCAGGGGGAAAAGGTTTCTACTCTGCTATTTGAGTTGACTTTATTACACCCTTATTGTTACTGCATTTTTGTCTCTATGAAGTTGTGTTTTACAGAGGACATGGGAGTACCACTGCCTGAAGTGCTGTACGCTTGTCATAGCTCCATCTGATGCAAACTCATTAGTTGCTACGCTGGATGTGTCAGCTTTATCTAAAAAGACTACATAATCAGCCAAGCAAAGCAGACTCTGCCATGGTAGGTGGCTGCCCAAAATCTGGGGAGGTGAAAATCTTTTACTTTTCATGGTGCTTCTCAAAGTTCTGAAGCCAAGTGTTAAACACGGTGGGGCCAGCTCTGGAGGGAGGTGACCCTCACACGGGCACCATTTACTTCTGTTTACCTCAGTTTAGTTCTTTTAGTACTTTTTTTTTCCCCATGGAAGAACAGAAACCTCAATTTGAGATGTAAAATATTTTCAGCTGCCCCACAGACTAAAGGAAATAAACTATATTCAAATTAGTTAATCTAACACTTACCTTGCAGTGGTAAAAAGAACAAATTGAGTTGTTCACAAACTTACAAATAAGGACATCAAGAGTAAGTATTAAAAAAACAACACAGTAGCTGTAAGAGGCCATTTCAAACAAACTGTGCAACACTTTCTGTTAGAATCACTCCTATAAATAGGTATATAAAAGAAAGGTTTCTTGGCTGGAATCAGCTGGTCTGCTCTAATAACAACATTTCCTTATAAAACAAAAGATCTTGAGAGCTGAGATGTAGTGACTAAAGCTGACTACTCTGGGAATTTATTTTTTAAAAAAAGTCCACTAAATACTGCAGAAAGGAGCGCATCCTTTATTTAACCACATCTCCTTCTCTGACCTCATTAGCAAAAAAAGAACAAAAAAACCGCAGTAGGATGTATCACTTCTGATCAAACTGGTATTTCTAAACATTTTTGTAAAATCCAAGAAATAGCTGCCGTAATATCATTTATTAAAGGAGCACCTGGGTGTTTCTTTGTCGGGGTGGTAAGAAAGCTCCATTGTCTGTCTGCCCTGTATCCCAGCCGCCAGCAGCGGGAAGGCAGAGGGCTGTAAGGGCCCCAGGGAAGTCACTGGGCTGCTTTCCTGCCAGCGTAGGCTGTTACATAGCAAAATCAACAGCTTGTTTTCTGATGGCCTAACTTGGGGGGGGGATTTAATTATTTTTCTTCCCCATTCCCCTCCTCCCATTTCCCACCTCGGCAGCACCGAGGGATGAAGTAGCTCTCGTAACAACTTGCTTCAGCAGCGCCATGTGTCGGCCTTTGCTACTCCCTTCTTGTTGGAAGCACCAACAGAGGAGCTGGGACAGAGGTAAGAGCTGTAACTGCAAGTGCCTGGTGGGCTGTCACCTCCTCCTGCCCTCACCTGCCTGGACACAGGAGAACCTGTCTTACCTTTTAATTATTACAGTGAATTGTTGCTCCCTTGTTTAAGGCTGTGTTTGGTCAGTGCAGTGCCTTGATTTGCTCTAGAAATCAACTGAAAGTAATAGATTTGTTCCAAAATGCTTCCTTAGAAGAAAAAAAAATAGAATGAGGGGATACTTTTGATATGCTCACTACTATCCTAACACCTCGTTAGTAGAGGATGGGAGAAGCAAACTATAACTTGGAACAAAGCCTTCAGAGCAGCGTGGCGCAGTGCTGCCCTGTAGCCTCCATGAGGCCGAGTCAGGCATCTGGACTAATAAGGGACTTATAAGGAAGAAAAAGACTCCACAGCAGAGCAGTTAGTTAGCACACATTCTCTGTATAATAGAGAATCACATCCACATGCCAGGCTGATGAAATACTATTTTTTACTTCCTTGGCAAAGAGGGAAGAGCAACTGCCTGAAACTTAGACTTTGAAACCTGCCATCAGTGCAGATGCCCAGGTATTGAGTTGTTTGAGTTTCCTTTGAGTTCAGGAATAAACGTTTGTTTTTTAGTTAATTTTCTTGCTATAATAGCCCTGCCTGGACTACTCTTGTAATACTCTAGCTGAATCTGAGGCAGGTAGTTTCAGACAATATACACATCATCTTATTTGAAGCATTTTTTTTAATGTTAAAGTCAATATACTTCAAATCAAAACCCACACGTCATAGAATTCCAGTGTATTTTGTTTTAAGGCATACTTTGGAGAGGGGAGGCCAGACTGTGTTGTTGAGTACTTTACCTTCCACGAAACGCAGTCAAGGCAGTAGCTGCGTTACAGTACCAGATGCAGGTCATGGCTCCTGCAGAAGTTAAATGGTCTCCTCTTCTGAGCAGCAGTCAAACACTGTCCAGTTTGGGTTTCTTTTTAGAACTTAACTACTATAGTGTTGACTTCCTGAACATTACTGAATTCTCTCCTTCTCCCTTGTTCCCCCCAGTAGATTGAGGTAAGTTTGTTAAATTTGGAATAGAAAAGCATGAGTTTGTTAGACCTGGCCTAGAGTTAGCTCCTTTCTAAAGTTCAAAGTCCAGTTCCCTGGGCTGTTCCTCCAGCCACCATTTTTTCCTGAAGAAAACATACCTGTTTTGCATCTTCAGTTGCTGTATTGCTGATCGAAGTTTATTCCAGTTATTTCCTCAGTTAAAAGGCAGTCTCAGTTTATGTGGTTCATTACTTGACTTCTCCTCTTCAGATGTCTCTTTCGGATTTTGATCATCCACTTAACACTTAACTTAGCAAAGTCTGCTGCCTTGAACAGAGCCAAGAAGATACCACAAAGAAGAGCAATCATGTTCCAGGGGTTTGCTGTGATTATCTGAAAGAGATTAAAAAAGACTCAGTATATATTATAGCTATTCAATAACAAACAATTCCATTTTTCTAAGAGAACTGTTTTGCAGCATATTCCTTCACGCTGCAAAGGTGGCCTGTAGTGTCTTCTCCACACACTAGCCTCACATCATGGTTTTTCCAATTCCTACCATCAGGAAGAAAACGTGCTGTACTAAGCTGCTGAACTCCTTTTAGATGGTGAATTGTTTAAAAAATGTAGAGATAATCATAAAATTTGCACTTTAAGTGTAAGGATTAAACACTATATCATTTAAAGACTTACAAAAAGAAGCAGTCACATTGAAGAAGATCCTCCAGAAGACAAAGCTAAAAGAAGCAACTGCTGGAAGGCTTTACCGAGAGCATTGTAACGCCAAACCAGGTTTTGACAGTGGCAACAGTTTCTGCAGACCTACAGCAAGTACTTTATGTTTCTATTTTTAATGACATTTGGTTCAGGAGTAGTTATTTATAGTTTGTATTTCTCCTCACACCTCTAGACACAAGGCTGACTTCTAGGATCTCAGAGGAAGCAAGCAGAGCTAGGCTTAGGCAGCAATAAAGGAGCACACAGCTTTGGAGTCTGCAGCTCTGAGGGTCAGCATGGGCACAGCGTTGCTGGTCACCACCAGAGCCAGAAGGTCTTAACCAGGCTTTCTGTGTTCATTAATCCTCCTAAATGCAGCAGCACCGGCTGCCAGGGCTGGTGGGATATGGCCTTCTTCAGCAAGATTTATTTTTATTTTCCGATTTAAGTCTAGGTTTCTCCCTTGTCAACTAATAAATAAAAGTAATTAAATCAGTTGATCCAAGCACACTTATTTAAGGAAAATTCTTCCTCTGAGTTTCTGTTTCGAGTGAGGTAGAGGCACGTGCACACGCGTGCACATTCACGCACACACAAGAACCACAAGCATGTACAGTCAGACAACAAACAGGGAGTAGTGTTGTTACTCACATCTTGAACGGTCTGTATAAAAGGATCTTTCCATTCGAATACCACGAAGAACAGCTGGTCACTTCTTGGTTGAGTTCTCTGGTCAATATAGTTAACCACACTCGTCTGGAGAGAAGGGGAAAAAAAGCGCAGGTTACTTTCTTCAGTGGTGTAATGAGTCTCCTGCACAACAGAAGAGGCTGGAAAGAAGGTAAAACCAGCAGACTGTTTAGGGACTTCCAATTCAGCCTTCCTCTGCCTGGAACAATAGGCTCCCAAAATGTGGACAGGGCAGTTTCCTCCATCTGTCTCATGTTCATAATCTTTTCCTATTCCCCACTTAGTAAAACACTGCAATACTGTTTTTACAGTGGTAGCCAGGGGCTTTATTTTATTACAGAGTTTTTCCCCTTTCAAGGGGGGAAATTTCATTTACAAGATTCCTTTACTTGGAGTAATACAGCATTTGGAAAGTTCTCATGAATGAATGCTAAATTAATTTTATTTATCAGAGAACTATGTGATGGTGGCAGGAAAACTTTCTATGTTTTTGAAAACTAGAAGATGCCAGCAAGTGCAGAATGAAAATGGAAGGGAAGGAAGCCTAGCTGTTAACAATTAAAACCATACTTTTGCCCATTAAGTAAGTTACCATTTGAAACTACCAGGGACCAGCAGAGCGGCAGCACAACTCCAGAGCTAGGATAGCCAGGGTACAGCTCAAGATACCAGCTCAGTGTTACAGCCACACAAAACCAGTCTTAAGAACCACAATCAGGACAGTATTAAGACATCAGGCTTCAGAAAAACATTTATCTTGTCTTGTGGCACACGCCACGGCCTAGAGGGGCACCACACAGAGCTTGTACAACAGGCAGTAACACCACCATCTGCACGACCCCCTGCCCAGAGCCAGGCAGTTACCTGACAGCAAGCACACTGCAGCTACAGCTGAACAAACAAGGAAGGAGTGCTCCTGTCTCCAGCCCTCAAGGGGGTATTTATATTTCCACCTTGGGGTGTGCACGCAGCAGTCACACTGCTCTTCCTACATTAGTTCAATGCTGTACTGGAAACAGGGAATCCAGCAGCACCTTAATGTCATTTCAGGGTTGTGACAGGAACTATAGATGGGAAAAGAGTGATTCAGCAGGCGTTGTATGAGACCTACTACAAAAACTTCCCATCTAACCTGGTGTAGTTTTGAGATGTCTATCAGCCTTCTCCACACACCCTGCCCTGACCAGATTTTAGGCTGTGAACACATAGAAGAGGGAGCTAGAAAACTGTATGTGTCTATCCAGAGCACATGGGAGCTTCACCACCCCGTATTTTCTGGTCAAACAGCTTTGCTGCAGACTTACCCTTTACTTCTACAGCTCATTTAATTATGGCAGTGTACCATCTCCCCAGCTACACTCATTCAAGAAAACTGCACACCAGGAAACAAACAGTACACAAAGCTAAAGGAAGGCAATGGGAAAGGAAGAAAAGACAAATTAATGACTACTGGGGTAGTTAGCAGACTAACAGTCTATGCTATTTGACCTAGTATTTGTATCCGTCGTTCTGGTATGCCATCTCCCAGTTTTAGATTTGAAAGGCTAATGGACTTCCTTATGCAATTTGAGCAGATGTTGTACTGTCAAACAAAGCAAGTGCAATTTATGTCTAAGCTATTTCAACTGCTGCTGCATTATTAATAGGGATCTGAAACCCAAAATTCACATTTGTACTGATTCTATTTTCCAAATTGTTTGTTCTTTAAAAAAGCACCCCACAAAACCAAAAATACTCCACAGCGTTCACCTACCCAGATGAGAGAGGCCATAACTACTGGGCTAAATGGATGCTTTTGGTCACAAAGAGCTCAGCTTTTTCTGAGTTTGAGTCAGTCTTCTGTTTCCACTTTCTGACACGTTGGACTGACGCATCCCTTCCTCTCCGAACTATCGCATTGGTCTGGGACTTGTATGACTTTGGGATCTGCCTCCTCACAGCCACAGCTCTGCTCTGCCCTGAAGGCTTTGTCATGCAAGGCCCTAACTGTGAGAACTCAAGACAGCAGAACTGAAGATTTTGCTTCATTTTAACCTCCACAAAGTACTCTTTCTGAGTGTACCATAGACTAAGAGACAGTGTTGTCTCTGAAACACATATTCTCTGAAAAGGACTGCTTTTAGAATCTCACTGGTGATGAGAAATGAGAATTTTTTCTCCTCAACCAACACGGGGAGCAAAATAAACTCAAAACACAATTATTCTCCTGTCCATTAGTATGACCAGAACAGGAACAAAATTCAAACTCATTTCACCTCTAGCTAAGTTTGCATCTTCCACCTGCATATTTTCTAGTATTAGATGGTGCAAGAAGTTACTCCTTGTTTCTAGGGATACTCAACAGATAAAAGTCCCAAACCCAAACAGAAAGCAGACATGAGAATGCTACAAAGGATACAAGGCTTACATTTACCTTTTCATCCTACCGTCAGCCCCTGTGGTAACCTAAACAACACCTCTTTCCAACATCAGCTATTATTTAGACAATTCCTTTGGCAATCCTTCCCCACCTTGAACTAAAGGTAGCTGTGTTAGTATTTCTGTGTCTGTCTCTTTGGACCCTTACCTCAGACTACAGCTCTCACTTAAAACACATTCAAGGCCTGGATTTGTTGGCCTCCCCATTAGGAGAGGTTTTCCCAAGATGTGTCACTAGGCCGTACCAACAGCCACGCACATCAAGACATTTACACTTTCACAGAACCTCCCCACGTTAAGAAAGAACACAAGTAACTGTCCAGCCAAGACTGCTCAGTGGCAAGTAGCATAATGGATGCAATGAAACAAAAACCAAGCTCCTGACCTTTCACTTACTGAAACCAACGAAGCCATCCACCCTTTTTCCAGCTCATATTGCTATTCACCCCGAGAACTGGTCTGCTGGCCGGTTATTACAACCTTGGCAGCAACTAGTTTGTACTAAACTAAGAGGTTCCAAAAAACTCTTCCTGAGGATTATTTTTTATTGTTTACCTCTTGTTTGAATTCAACAGTCTCACTCCCATCTTCTTCTTTTGTTTTCACCAAGGACATCTTGACCCAAGTTCGAAAGCCTCCGGAAAACTTCCAGCTGGAGTATGAACTTTCACAGTCCTTCATGAATTCTGCTTTTTCTGGACTAAAGAAAGAAAGACCATTACATTAGTCAGAGAGGTCCCTGATCACTGTAGGCAGGAGAATGTCATATCTACAGGCACTTCAAAATGTGTTCACAATTCCTTTTATGTTTCAGCTGCTAGAAGTCAGCATACCTAAAATATTGTTAGTAGTGACATTTTCATTAATGGTAGCACTTGCACTACTGTGTTCCTCACCACAGACTTACCTGGTGCCACCACCCTTGAGTTCTGCCTTGTAGGGGAGCTTCATTCTGCTCATCTGTCACCTCTGGGACAGGCAGGAACAGAGCCAGGACACCAGGAAAACAGTGTCCCACAAGGCTCAGGGGTAAGAGATGGAAGGAACAGCCCAGAGGCAGGGCAGGCTGCTTCACCCCATTTCTGGGATGCAAATAAACTGGTCGCAATGCCGACATACTTAAAATGCTTTGAAATTTACGTTCATCACATTCCTATTATTTTGGGAACACTACACCTTTGCTGTAAGGCTCCCATCTGCAATAACACGGCTGTTTTCCCAATATGCAATCCCAGATATTTGTAGCCCCAGAATGGGATTGCTTTGTGCCTTTTTTAATTGTTTGGGTTTTTTTAAAATTTTTTTAAATACTGTGACTTTAGCCCATTTTAAGGCTTCCAATACCCCTCACACTGCAAGTGGTAAAGAGGGAGGTCTAAGGCATATCTGGTCTCCATCCTTTCTCTACCAACCGCACAGGACACGGTGAATTAACCACACCACTTACTTGGGAGCTCCTCAGTACTGCCATTTCAGCCATTTTAATCTCATCTCTACAAAATAAGCCTGGCTTGCAGCTGCTTTTTCGAGAAGGTTTCATTTGAAATGAAGGGGTAAACCACTGTTATGAGTCAGAATCATTAAAGCACAGACTGCTGATTTTTACTAAAGATAGATTTCAGGTTACAGAGATATGTCAGGGTATGCTGAACCCTAAGACAACGGAAAAGATTTTTCACTGGGATTAAATCCATCTTCCAAGGTGAAGGTGAAGAGTACACTTTGCTCATATAGCAGAGGGAGTGCACAACTAGGTCTGTTGGGAGATTAAGGTGTTTTGGTCTTTCAGGAGAAAGATGCAAAGAAAAGAAGAATCAGGAAGATTTGTCCTGTACCAGCCCTGACTGGATTTGCAATTTTCCTGTCTCTTTCCTCAGTTTTCAGAATCAGGGCTCCTTTTCTTCCTACAAACCAAGATGTCTTGTCTACGAGGGCTGAAACATAGAACTCCATTGTGCATACGAGTAGAAAAGAGAAGTGTTCCTGGAAAGAAAAGCTAATACACTTTGCTACCCATGAAGACAGATTATATTCCAAGAGTGTTTTAGTTTAGGAATATCTTTATGGATTTGTAACATTAGCTGCTTGCTTAGTGAGCCTGACAAGATGGCACTGCACCTCTCTCACCCCCACAAAGAAGATATAAGCAAAGCATAAGAATGAAGCTCGCCGCCTGATGGCTCCTCACCATACAATCCAAGGACATAGGGAGACCTAATCTGACAATGATTTCTTCCCCCTTTGGTATGTGGGTACAGCACCAGGTGATGGAAATGGAAGAGCACGGTGCTTTGCCACTCAGAGGACCATACATAATTAGCACTCTGCCAGCAAGTCATATGCCTAATGCACGACTAAATACAGCATCCCAGAAAAGTTTTCCAAACCAACATGGAAAATAGAGGCAGGAAGCTATGACACAGAGCTGAACGTTACAGCCACAACTTAGATGGTAAGCAGAGAGCAGCAGTGTGCTTCGCCTTCGACAGTAATTGTAGGCTTGAAAAAGAAAGATTAATAATATCTTTGGAGAAGCTGTGGAGGAGTGATCTGAGAAGGCATCTCCTGGCTTGTGCCTATAGCCCAGACCACTGCCACAGAGTCAGGGAAAAAAGGGGGGGGGAGCAGAGCAGAGGCACAAGGTTTGCACAAATGATAGCAGAGTGCAAATAACACAGCCTAAAAACCACCACAACTAAGTGAAAACAAGACAGGCAAGGGACTTCAATCTGAAGAACAATTCTCCATACAGTTTCTTTTCATTCCTTCTTCACCGCAATGACAGACAACCTGCAAAGGCTGCACACCTTTTTTTTTTGGTTGTTGTTCAGCAATTTCTTCACCTTTAACACTTTCCTTCAGCTAAACTGCAAGAATCCTGGAATATTCTGCCCCAGGCTCCCCCAAGATATTGGTGGTACCCTCAAGGCCATGCAAAGAATTTCTACGTCACAGCAAAGAAAGAGAAGCACCAGAGGCCACTGTGGCACTCAGGTGAACTACAAAGCCCTGCTCTCCCCTCAGCTCACGTTTCCAGGTAGCTACTGACAGTGACCTACCATCGCCCCAGCACACACTGAGGCACAAGAGAGAATATTTGTCACAACTGTAGGAGCTGCTAAGCTAATTCTGGACTGGGCTCTAGCTCTGCAGTGGATCCTTCTAACACCAAGCTCTACAGATCAACCCACAAGAGCCAGAGGCAACTTAGGATGTCCCACCAGCAGATTTCAACACAACAGCAAGAGTCAAAACCACAGACAGATCAAACTCAATTCCTGTTTATCACTTTAGCTTTTCCCCAGACTAGGAAACTCTCAGACAGGCCTGGGATCTAACAAAGGGTCAGATGGCACAGAACCAAAAGTCTCAACCCTTCTATGTTATGATTTATTTCTCTACATGTAGAAATCCGCACCAGAGACGTGAACACGGAGCTCTCTTTAGACCCTTAAATAATCTCTGACCTGCTCAGACTGGTATTCATCATTTCACATGACCACAAGTTATTTTACATGCTAAGCTAACAATGGTTTTGTCAGTAATATGTTCAGAGGATTTTCTTCTTAAACCCATGTATTAGACTAATGACAGTTGAGGAAAGGAACTTGTATTTTTAGCTACACTTTTTTGCTAATTTGCAAGGGTTTCATTGTTTCCTTCCCTTCAATTAACATGGTACAGACAGCAGCTGCCACTGTCAGAGGAAAAAAAAAAAAGAAAGAAGAAGAAAAAAGCCAGTGGCAGTATCTCTCCAACTCAGAGGCCAACAATAGCACACAGTTCAGCAGCGTTCTGTGAAGGCCAGAACAGCACTAGCAAGCAGTGCCAGTTTTGTGTAGTCTGTCCATCCAATTTTAACAGAAGAGCTGCAGAGAATAAAACCCTTGACAGAAACAACTGGACCTTACTCGAGTCCTCACCACTTGCTATGCCCTAAAAAACCCTTAAAGACACAAGTCTCTAGATGCCATTTTCATTATTGCTCACGGGTGATGCTTGCAGCAGCCTTCACTGATATGATTAATGCTATTTAAAGCAAAAGCGAACTGTGCATAATATCTATCTGCACAGAAACTGTGGTATAGATACCACAGTATAGATACCACAGGACTCTTCTCACAATTTCAAGGGGGCTTGGACTGTGATTTAGGATGATGGAATAACCTGAACATGTGTTTATAGCACCCTGCATGCCCAACCCAACCAAAGCTGTTCGCAGCCATAGCAAAAAACTGCAAAGGTAATTATTGTAACTCATGAGTTTTAGCACAGATCTCAGCGTCTTTGATAAGACTTTACATGAACTGCTGGACACAGTGCTAATATGCTCCGATAACTAGTAAGTGAGATATTTTGTCAGGAAAAGTAGTTAACAGTGGCCAGTAATTGAAGTTTCTAGAGGCTGTATGGAAGGACAAAATTTGCACTGTCAACACACAACGGTTTCTTAGTCCAGACTTCCCACCAACTAAACTTAGCATCTGCTGATGAACCGGAAATTGTTTCTATTTTCTTTTCTGCTGGAAGTTGGACAGAAGGAGTACGTTCCACATACACACGTGGTTTCACATGCACTTCGGAGTAAGGACAAAACGTAAACTTTCAATGAGCCCTGAGCCTGTCCAGCTCATGCCCCAGGACACCAGAACAGCCATGCACAATACTAAGCAAGACAAGCCATGCAATTCGTACCAAGCTTTGGAGGATGCCACAAAAGAGACACTACTGGCTTCTCGTGCACAACTGGTTCTCTCACTGTATTTCACCTAGACGTGCACATCATTTACTACTAAATTTAAAGGCCTACATACCTTTGCCAATTTCACCATTATCTGGGTTAGTTCAAACCAGTTCTAACTTGCATTCCTACTACCTGCTGCAAACGGGCACAAAGGGTGCATCCCCAAAGAGACAACACCACTTCCTATCTTTTGACTTTGCTCCAAACACACCCCAGGCTCACCCTTTGCTCCCCCAGCTGCAGTTCTGGTGCCTTCTAACACTGGGACAAAGCAGCTTCTCTAGTAACAAAGCAACACCTTCCCACCTCTTCGTGGATCGATGCTGCCATCTAACCAGTTTGACCTGGCAAATCTGCAGGCAGGAGGTTGCCATCCAGGCTTCTCCCAGGCAGCTTACAGATGATTCCTACCGATTCACCTACGCTGGCACAACCAGCCCTGAAGTGAGGACCTTTGCTGTACTGCTTACTGCTGGTTTGCACATCTAACCTACCTTTGCATGCCATGTGGCACAAGCGTTTGGGACAGCAGCATGCAGACTTGCAGCTTGCTTGCAGAAATACTGCCAACTTAAGTAGGACATAAATGGTTTAACCTGGGAAGAAACAGGTCTGTAAAATAGCTTATCTGCAAATCGGTACAATGAGCACAGAAACGTGGCTTCCAAGACTCGAGTACACATAGACCAAGTTGAGTCTGGGTATGTGGGCTCATTATGCAAAGAGGCAGGAACCAGATGCAACACAACCATGCCTCCTGCTCAGTTTCACAGGGCTGGTCTCAGTGCTTGTGTCTTGAAGTACAAAACAGCCGTGCACCTTGCTGGAATCGGCCCCGCTACATACCCCTAACTGCAGCACAAGCCACAGAAAATGAGAAAAAGCAACACAGAAATAAAAAGTAGCACCTTCTACATCGCTACTCTTAACTGGCATTTTCTCACCCTAAAATATCAACGCCTAAAATACCTGGAACATTAGCATTTTATGAAGTGTTTTAGTACAGTTACAGAAAGTACTTAACCACTTAAGGTCTCTCCTTCACTGAAGCAGAAATGCTTTGTAAGAAGCAAATTCAGATAATTGGTCCTTGGCTGCTCAGAGACACTGTGACTGAACACCTCCAGTCTTTGCTCCATCTGAAAAGCACCAATATGATCATGTCCAAGACTCCAAGAACACTTTGTTACAATAAAATCTGTTATTTCTCTTCTCCTCCTTTACCTGATTTTGTTCTGCATATGGTTTTTATCCCTTGTCCCTTTTTCACTTGACATATGACTACTACCAAACTAAGGCTTTCTATGAGGTCTCACTGTGACTCTCTTGCCTACTTTTTAATCTGGATTGCAGAGGAAGAACAGAACCTGAATTTAAATTAAAGCAAAAACTTAACACGTAAGTACAGAATTTATTCTCACAAGGTGGGAAAAAGAGTGGGGCTTTCAAGAAAGCTTAGGACAGTATTAATTCCATTCCTGTAAAAATTAGAAGAAGGTTGATTGGTCACTCCAATGGCACTAGTGTAAAACCAATACAAAGCAATTTTGAAAACCTCATCTATGAAATTACATCATTCTGTAGAATCTTACAGTAATACAAAGAAATATAGTTAAGCTTTCAACAAAATCACAACAAAGGAATCTAGAAATCTGGTCTTTAGAGTAATTGCTTTTAAAAAAAAAAAAGATAACAAAGGTACAGAAGCCATCATCTTCTCAGTGCACTTCCCATACACACTGCCCAGGACAGCAGGCTTCCTGCTCACCATGGCAGCAGACAGCACTAAGCCAACACAAACTTCAAACTTTTAGAAAGCGCAGCAACAAATGGCTGAAGCACAGCTGAAGGGCAGTTTTGGTCACTGAAAAAGTCCTCAATTGATTTTCTTAAAAGTAAGATTAGTAACCTAAGACATGAAAGAGCATCAACATAATCCAAACATTAAAAAAAATAATAATGAGACTATAAAAGCCTGTCTGATTTTTACTAAATAAGCCCGGCTTTCACTAGTATTGTTGTAGCAAGTTCAATGCAGTTACAGGCTCACCCCTTTACATACCTGTTGATGAACTCTTGGAAAGAAGAAAACAGAAGGTAGTCAATGGCACTGAAATCTTGGTCTGTTTCATTTAAATAAAACTGCAGAAACACAAGTTCCTTTTTCTTCACATCACGAGGGCCTTGAACAACCAAAGCATACTTCTGTAAGCAAATCGAGAGATGGTGAGAGTAGCACAGGAATCCTCGTTTCCTGTTCATGAACTTGCCATCTGTCACTAGTACTCTACAGAAATGTAATCCACACTGAGATCTTCTTGGCCTCTACTAAGAATAACACCTAACAAGAATGCCAACTGAATCCCTCCTTTTAGTTTAACAATGAAGTCTTTACATCGAGTTTTAGTGTTTTTCTAAGAAATCTGCTTTAGTTCTACTGTAGCCCTTTAGGTTCATGAGGAATTACCAGTCAAGATCCTGCAACCTGCATTCTGCACAGTGACAATCAAAACTGTTTTGAGTATTAAAGCCTAGAAACTTTCAGCTCTGGACATGCAACAAGTTAATCTGGAGTCTGATCTAGAGAGCATCAGGCTTCTTGAGAAAGAGGAAGTTTCACAGCTCCCAGCACCTCAAGTAAGCTGCTGAAAATAAAAAATTTAAAAAAAAAAAAAATGCTTGCAGGCAAAATACAATTTAAAGTAGCGCAGGCATCTTATTGAACAGCACTTGCAAAAGGACTCAGCCAGTTTCAACAGGGCTCTCCATGGTTCAGAGGTCTCTGCCTCGGTGCCTCTGCATTCAACTGTGGGACTAGAGCCTATTGGGTCAGCAAGCTTCTAAATGCATCTACCACGCAGCACAAAATGCAGGTTCTTAGTTTGTTAAAACATGCAAAAAGAGCATATTAGCAGCAGCAATTAAATTAGAATTGCACCCAGAACATTAATTTCAAATATACGAAGGAGCTGCTTCCCAGAAATAAATAGTAACCAGACAAAAGAAAAAACATGAGAGGAAAAAAGCTGACCAAAGAGGTACCTTGACTACTCATTTGTTCATGTTTAGTTTCCTTAAAAACAATCTGAGCAACCACTTTAGATACAAATGACCATATTTAATACTTTATTTTCTGAATGCCTATTTACACAGAAGTTAGATTCCCAGCATTTTTAAGGGCAATTTAGGACAGACTATCACTCAATGTACCCAACTTCAAGGCTCACAGTTTCGGTGTAATGAAACACTTAGTGCCCAGTTAAGATTTTTCCAAGTGTGACAAAAATAGTATGTAATTCCCAGCAAACATATAAAAAGAGATAAACTATCCTGCTTTAACAGAGTAACTGCTACTGCTTTCAATCAAAGCTAGATTTACTATATCAAGAAGTATGCTTGCCAGTTCTTTTAGATGGGGAACGAAGCAAGAGTTTCATGTGAGAAATGACTTATTTTGTCCCATTCAGGTTTTCATGCTGCACACACCCACGTGACAGCTGATCATCCATAACATATATACACACTGACTGGGGTCTTTTACATTTCTGAAAGCAAAAGGACAGATGGCTTGAAAAAAAAACTAGAAGCAAGGATTTTTTCCAGCATTAAGTATATATCTTTTACTTTCAAATACCATTATGAGCAGAAAACCCCCACTGAATAAGCTTTGTTCTATTATATTGTTATTACCATTGTTTGATTAGTAAAAGGATCTGTGTAGTTGATTCTCTGAGTGGTGCATCCAATGACGCCCGGCTGCCCTGGATTTATCAGAGGCGGAATGTGATCATAGTAATGATGCTTGCAGCTAAGCAGCTGAGCCTTGCCTGGGTAAAAGGCAATGCCTGTTTGGGGAGAAAAAGCATTGAAGAGAGCTGATTTCTTTCCCAAGTACATAGATTTTAATTCTGGGATTTAATCCTAGAGGATACTGAGCTATCCTCAAGATCATCCAGAAAAACAATCAAATTAAACCACACGCTTCAGCATTTTTCTGGAGCAGGACAACAGTGCGTTTTCTGCATCAGGACAGAACCCCTGCAACACACTGAAAAAAATCAGGGTTCGTGTTGTTACAGCAATTCAAGGTTCCCAGAACCTACTAAGTTCCCCTAGTCTTCCCACAAGCCAGCAGCTAATACATCAGTCCCTCTGCCCCGACTGAAATGAATGGGTAAAGTAGGTTAGGAGACCACTGAAGTCAAATGGGACAAGTAGCACTTCAGCATTTACATGTTTTCAGAAATTATCATTTAACATGTCAAATTTTAATTGGAAAGAATGTTTGTACTATACATGACAGATCAAAGATCACTAGCAGGTCTAATAAAAGTGAGAAGATGCTCTTCAGAACATCTAACATCTTCTTCACTAAATACAATGTCATGATAAAAATCAAAGCAAAAAAAAAAACCCACACCCAAACAAGTACTGTTACCATCCCTTAATACTTATATCACCATAAATCTATGGTTTCAGACCAACAGCATACATTAAAAAAAAAAAACAACACAAAACCCCTCAGTCATCTCAGCTATAGAAGGATAAAAAAAAATTACAGGCCCAAAATCCTGCTATGCCATATTTAGTATTGGAAACAAGCTTGCTTGAAGATCATCTATACCAACTACCAAAACAAGTATGATTTGAGTTATTAGATATGATCAACTCACACAACTGAGATGACCTGTCCACCAAAATGCAAGACATCAAAGCAGTCAGCACATAGCAGTCTAAAAAAGCTTTATCCCTTTCTTCAGTGCTCCATGCTTGCAACTTGCCATCTCATCACTTTAATAGAACAATGAAATAAAGGACTGCATTAATTTTGATTCCCTGTTCTGGCAGGGATCCCTGACAATACTTGTGGATTTATATATATGTTGTTCTGCTTCTTTAAATGACATTTTCTTCCTGTTGCTCTATGAAAAGCTCATGTGGAAAAAAAAAGGGGGGGGGGGGGGGATGTCTAAACTGAACTGAATTTCAGATTAGAAGAGTTAGCTGTAGGATGGAGCCATGGAAAATTCCTCGTGCTCTACAAACAAAAACATACTGCAAAGGTGAGCGGGATGGCAACGCAGCCTCACATAAAAGTCTGGCTTTTAGGCTTTGAGAGGGAACAAGGCTCTTCCCTGCCTGGTGAAGGAAAGTCAGTCTGCTAATTGTCTGCAAAGGGGGAAAGGTTGCTGGGGAAACAAAGGCAGAGAAAAAGCCCCAAAGCTGGGGTTTGTGTAGATCTGCACCAGTCCTGCCTAGAAACTACTGAGCAAAGTAATACTTAAGATCTAGCAGAAGAGATAGAACAGCTACAAGTTATTTTCCAAAACACATTCTGTGACATGTCTGTGGCCAGAGATGTTCTCCCACCTGCCAGGTTAACCTCTGCAGAGGGAAAGGAGATATTATGTGAACTGACTAAATCCAACCCCCCTCCC